ACTTCCCCTTTTGTGTCTAAGCCCCTCTGTGGCAGCTGCACTGCACATACATCTGATCTACATGTATGAGCAAAGTCTGGCAACAGCCAAAGCTCCTGATGGCCACATTGGGGAAGACAGATCTCCAGGGACAGAACTGCTCCAAGTAGAAATATGCATCATCCTTGTCCATATTTATGAGGCCCACAAGAATAAGCCTGTCTGGTGACAAAAGGCTGATGAGTTAATCTTCAGGATGTAGATCAGACATTCCTTTTCTAGATCAGAAAAATTAGTTTTCCATTCAACTTACACAGCTAACACCAGTACTTGGTGAGTGCATAGCCACTAACAAGGTTTCACTATGAATATAGTAAAAAGTAGGTTTTGTTATTTATCATGGCAATTTCTAATGATTTTGCTAATGATAATAATAATTGATTTTGCTAATGATATAAACAATTGTAATGATGGAAATAGGTGTTAAATCTACAAACAATACCAAGTGTGCAAGGCTGAAAGGGTATCATCCTACATGGGTAAAATTCAAAATGGTCTTCATAAACTGTTCAAATGATCTCACAACAGCATTTTATTAAAGGCAAACACAAAACAGGAACAGTCAGCTGCAAATTAATGACAACTGGAAAGCTGTACATAGCTGTTACTCAAAACAGCCTGTGGGTCATTACCCTTGATGTGCTTTGAGAAAGGCATTAGAAGTCTGGTACTGTCCTCAGCTTTTCTTCACTACAGTAAAGGTAACACTTTCATTCATAGAAGCTTAGTATTTCAAGAGATTGTTAAGAAAGGTTAGACAACTTCCAGGTATCATTTGGCTACAGTTTAACCTACTGTGGACAATGGATTTGTCTTATTTTTTAAAAATAATACCTTTCTCTATTATTATTCCTATTAATGAATCTGGTACTGTCCTCAGCTTTTCTTCACTACAGTAAAGGTAACACTTTCATTCATAGAAGCTTAGTATTTCAAGAGATTGTTAAGAAAGGTTAGACAACTTCCAGGTATCATTTGGCTACAGTTTAACCTACTGTGGACAATGGATTTGTCTTATTTTTTAAAAATAATACCTTTCTCTATTATTATTCCTATTAATGAAATTCAATGAATACCTTTCTCTATTATTATTCCTATTAGCAACAATCATTCAATGAAATACTTCTAATAACATAAGGAAAAGAGAGCATGGGGGAAAGAAAAACGTAGAAAACCTGCCAAGGAGCAGCTTCAAAAGATGCTCTACAAGTGACAGTAGTAAAATCCTGTTTTCTCCTGTCTCTACCTCTCCCCCAGGGCCAACTGGAACAAATAAAAGAATGCAGTGCCAGAGAATCCTAAACATGCACCTTAAAAGAAAGATCAAGAAAAAAAACCCCAACAGCCAAGAACAATAGAAGGTAAATTCAGACAGGTCAGTGCTTATAATAGTTTCAGGGTGCACAAAATAAACCAAAACCCCAAATCCCCCAAAGGACCCATGTGACTAATAATGTTGGTTTCCTCCCACCCAGTTACAGGATATACAAACAACAAGAGGCATACACTGAAGTATTTTATAACCTAACCCTTACACATCACTTTCACATATCATAGAAACAAACCCAGTAACGTCTGAGGGACAAGAGTCAGACAGTCATTGCCTAAGCACTGCTGAGAAAGAGAGAGCTGTCAGCACAGTATTCCTGTTCAAGGAACAGCCAAATAATTGTCCTCCACAGTCACGTTATTGACATTTAAACGTGCCAAATGAAAGATGCAGGATTGCTTCTCTCTGAAACATGTAAGATCTCAATGTCTAAAATGCTAACCCTTGACAGGACAACTGCATGGGACATATGTTAGGGAGGACACAGGATATATGTTAGATTCCTTCTGGGGGCACATGGAGGGTTAACATAACATACATTATGAAGATGAGCTGACTCTCCTGAACTGCATTAAACCCTGCTTGGAGCACAGCATGTAGATGGCTAAAGGAAAAATCAGTAACAACCATCTGCAACACGACACGGCGTTTAAAAAACACTGATGTACATGAGAACTTCTATTGGATGCAAGAACAATTAGGAACAAACCACTAAATGTCACTGTTCTTACTTCCACTAATTACACACATACAGGAAAGCAAAAAGCTGTTTCATTTAAAGTCACATAAACTGAAAGCTCTTGACTTGTTTAAAAAGGTACACAGTCCCTCTGCAACAGTTTAAGTGTTAGATTTAGGAAGGATTCCTTTGCTGAAAACAAACATGGAGTAATTGGGTGTGCATAAAAGTGAATAAAATTAAGACACAGCAATCACAGTATTTTTACTTTGTATAATGGAAGTTTCTCCTATATCTAACACTGCACAAGGTATCTTGCATAATCAAAAGGTAAGCAGAAGTCCCTTACACTGCCTCGCTTTGCCAGAGAATCACCGTAGTCTGCTGGCAAAGTCCGCTTGCTGGACTTTTTCTGCTCATGTTCAACTGCATCTTCAATTATAGGCTCAAGCCTCATCTGGACAAACACCAAAGATGTGGATCAATTTCTTTTCATTATACAGTGAGGAAAGATCTAAAAAGTCTTTTTAAAAACTTCTGAAATATTTAGAAAAACTGCATAGAACTCACTGATGTTTAAATAAAAAGAAAATGCAAAAACCTACTGAGGCTCTGGCCTTAAATTCAGTAATCTCCAAAAAACAGACTTTGAAGCTCAAATTTGGTAATTAAACTCTAGGGTCCCCCCTCTTTTTTTTTTCCTTGCTTTTGCTTTTTGGCTGCAAGGATTTGAGATCTGTATCGAAATTCTTGCTCCAGGGTTCAGTACAGTCAGTCAAACAGTGTTCAATCTTAGTGTGTTTTAATATAAGCACCTGTCAAGTCTCTAAATCCAAGTTTACTAAACAAAAGCTTAAAATTTAATGTTGCTGCTCACTGGACAAGTTTGTCAAATAAAAAGCTTATCTTTGTGTAGAACTCATTCTTCCCCAACCCTTCCAAGACTGTAGCTAAGTAATACACTGTATCTATGTATTTTATCCTCAGTCAGCAGATGCAATTTTATTTTCTTACCTCTGTAAGAACAGTAGTGTCATATGAAGGCTGATACTTTTCTTTTTCATGTGCAGTTCTCTTTTCCATCTTTTCTCTGTCTGTTTTCTGTTTTCTGTCTGCTCCTTTTGGCTAAAAGTGAACATTTACATGAACAAGAACACAAGTGGAAAATGGCTTTATAATTGCAATCTGATCTCAGAAGTCAAGCAGCCATACAAAGATGTCCTGCATCTTTGTGAGAACTTCTGAGAGACTTAAGGGTCTGTTTTTCTACTGTTACCTTAAAAACTTTGATTTGACAACTGGCTGAATGCAGATGATCTGTATATTCTCCATTTTCAGTCTGTTTAAAAGTGTCAACCTGAATCCTAAAAGGAACTCCTTTCTCTCCTCCATGTTTTCGAGGGGTAAATTCAGTGCTGATACAATGTACCTGAAACAAATACAATGACCAAAGAAAAAGGACCCTCAGAAGCATTTCAGACATGAACTTCATTATGTTACCAACATCATATACAGTTTCTGTAACAAATATGAGCAAAGCTATAAAAGGCCACTGACTGGAAGAGTTTTTCACAGCATGCACCCTCATCTCAGGGTATTTTCAAATACACCCAACTTCCTATAAGAGTCAGCACTAAGTAATCAGTATGTAATTGCCTGAGGTGTTACATCAGAGCCAGGTTTATAAGGTAGAAATACCCCTAAAAGATATTTAAGGAGAAAATCAGTGCAACAGAAGGAGCCATGATGAATCTCACTGGACAGTGCTCCCAATTTTTTTTGCCTCCTTATGGAATTTTAAGTGAGCCTTCAGAATGAGTGAATTCTACTTGCATAGTAAGAATCAGTTCCATTTTCAGTCAGTCACTATTTCTTCTAAGGAAGTGCATAAACAAAAATATTCACAGCATGGTTTGGGGTGGAAGTGACCTCGAAGATCAACTCATTTCAACCCCCTGCCATGGACAGGAACACCTTCCACTAGAACAGGCTGCCTGACCTGGAGCACCCCCAGGGATGTAGCACCCACAGCTTCTCTGGGCAACCTGTTCCACTGCCTCACCACCCTCACAGTAAAGAATTTCTTCCTAATATCTAATCTAAACCTACCCTGCATCAGTTTGAACCTATTCCCCTTTGTCCTGTCAGTACATGCTCTTGTAAATTTATTCAACGGTTTATCTCACACTTCCTCAAGGAGACTACATTTCAGTAATTATGTAACTCTTGCTACAAAAAAGTGCCTTTTCTTGTACTAGATCAAGGTTAATTTACTGACAACATAGAATTTAACCTGTTTTGACAGCCTCAGTAAGAACTGCTGCTCCCTCAAACTTTACACCTATACCTTTTTATAATAAAACCAGATCTGAGACAAAAGTAAGCTAAATGTTCCAAAGCAGATCTGAACAATCTATCTAAATTTCCAAAGAAAACATGTTCAGTTGCCCTGAATATCAAATGCACAAATAATACAAATCCTACTACAAGGAAGCCTATTGACACAGCAAGAAACATCTTTGAATGTCTGACTTAAAAGCCTCTTTGTAACACAATACTTTTCATTTTGTATCCTGAAGCCAAGTTTCTGCTGAAGCTCACCAGCAGGAAAGGGGCCTTCTCACTTAAAAAAATAGTAGTGAGAGTTATTTTGAGAGATCTTAAAATAATTCTCACACTTCAAATAACTAAATGTTTAACAATGACAGCTTTCTACAAAGAACTTTCTGAAAGCCTTTTATTTCAATGTTTTTTCTAAACCCAAACTAAGCTGAAGAACCTAACTAGGGACCCCAACAGAACTATGAACTTGTGGTTTTTTTCACAAAGATGATATTTCATGGACATGCCACATATAAGAAACAGAGAACCTTGAAACTCCATAGTGCAAATATACTACTGTTTGTGACCTGAAAGGCACCAAACACAGATATCCAGTCAAATAAAGTTTCAAACCTGAATAAAAGCAGATGTACATTTTGTTGGATCCCACAAAAATTCAACTGCATTGAGCTGGCTTGGATTTGTCTTGATATCAATGACTCCAACAGACATTGGAATATCTATTAAAGTAAACAGCATAAATTTCAGTGCAACCATACTACAAGAAAACATTATAAATAAGTTGTAATACGAGGTTTACCATCAGTAGACACAAAGTAGACTGGAAAAATGTGGGCTTTGGTGGCTTGACCATAAGCTCAGAAACAGTTTCTTAGGACTGATATGAAGAATCTTAGCAGACTCAACACAGAAAGTGTTCAGGGTTTTATGTGGTTTGTGATTCTCCTTCCTTGCCACCAACCCCAATATGTAACAAAAATGATGAAGTTATGCAAAACACAGAAACCATGCTGGTGCCATTTTCACAACCTACTAGGGAAAGTTATTTTTGTCTGTGTTCTCCTAATTACTGTAACATCTAGTAATCAAAATTAGAAAGATTACTAAATGGATATGGCTGCAGAGTTACTATCTTTTGTAGCACTGAAAAGTTCTAAAGCAATGTGAAAGTGGTAAGAACCTTTATTTATATTCTAAATATACACTATGACAAGGCAACATACAGAAAACTCATCTGTCCTTTTTCACCAGCCCCAGCATAAACGTGAACACGATCAAATTTAAAAACTGAATTTCATCCACTGGCAACAACCAGAAACAATTATACCTAAGTCGAGAAGTCTGTCCCCAGGGCGGTTCCACTTCCAACCTTCTAGCTGCTGGTGCTCTGTATATTGCAACCTTCTGTCATGGAACACAACTCGTATAATACTCTAACAGAGAAGAAAACAAGCATCTGATGAGCCACAAAGTTACTACACCTTTAGAAACAACCTGAAGATAAAGCACTAAAACATTCCAAAATAGACAGAGAGCTGATAAATACATATTTATAGGAAAAAAATCTGGTAACCATCAGTATCCCAAAATATTCCAGAACACAGAAATAGAACCAAGCAGCAGGGTACACATGAAAAAGTGGTAGAAATGCAAGAGAGTTTTACATCTGATTGTCTATTCTAAAGGTCACTATGAATTACATGCAGTGAGCTGAGCAACACTGAGAGCACAGGATCAACACTGCATAGGGAACACCAAATCATCTTAGAAAGCAAACATGGAAGATTTCACTTATCATGAAAAGTGCTGAGCATTACTTGCCCATTTTTTTCCTGGGAATTTTTGTAGGACATTTTAAGAAGTAAAACAGAAAATTCCCTTCCTAGTATTCATAAGCACATTTACAACAAATAATTTTAATTAATAAGAAGGAATACAAAACTTCTAAGCTTCCCCAACTACTCTAGATGAAATATTAATCTAAAACAACTATGACATGATTAACTTTATTCAGGTAGAAGCAATTATGCAACACCACCTATTTTTGTGACCAGTACTGCTGCATGAATCCACATACAAAGCAATTTGTTACACAGAGGGGAGTGGAAAATACCTCATACATTAACTGCTACCAAACAATTAGAACACAGACAGATTTGTATCACTTTTTTAATTATTCTACAGTCTTCCTTGTATTAACAGCAGGTAAAAGTGTCCACAAACCCCAAAAACTTTTAAAAGGAGTGACTCTTCAAGATACAATGTATTTCCTTGGGTTTATTTTGAAGATAACAGAAAGTACACTCAGGCACAAACAAATCCTTTTGCATTGCAAACTGCCAAGTTTGGAACTTGGAAATACCTGCAACCACCTTGGAATGCCTTCTTCAGGAAAGAACTGGGATTCCAGCATTTAAGTGTTGGAAATGAAAACTCTGTTGATGCAGTATTATAATACCTTGCTATAGTGAAATTTACTCTTTCAAACTTTTGCTTTGTCCTATACCAAATGACTCATCACCCATATATGAACTTAGAAAACTGCAGCACAGAGATATTCTGGGGCTACAAGGAAACAGCAAAATAGTTCACATGCTTATTAAAACAAGTCAATATGCCAGGCTGTAAAAAGTTTAATTACAGAACTCAAAAATCTCAGTTTTATGGTGCTCAACACTTCCTGAAATTACCTCTGAACAAGCAACCCACAAACAAATACAAACAAGGCATAGGTCTATACAAGCAAGCCAAAGTTCACAAGTTATACAGCCCAAAGCTGACAGGTACAGATTCAGCCTCCCACAGGCACACTGTTCTAGTGTATCAGGACCACTTTTAAAGTGACTTTTAACTGAAGTTTTTCCCTTCTTTCCTAATAGCTGAATAAAATTTTTCAGAGAATTCAATAAAACCAATTGTCAGAAGCTTAATAATCCAAACCTCCTCCCTCCATCAGTTCTTCTAATAATCTGTGCCATGAATTGGGATATTCTTCAGTTTGCCTCATTCTTCCACTTCATACACCACCTCAGATCCACAATACCATCTGCTAACATGAAAGCACAAGGAGACAAATCTGGAATTGCAAAAAGGAGCTCAGCTGTGGAATAAACTGCACAATGAGCAGCAAATTTAGAGAGACCTGTTTTCCTATGGATATATCTCCACCATCTCACTGTTGCAAAAACCACAGGTTGGGTCTGTGTTTTTTCTGTACTAACTATTAAGAAATGTGCTCGTAATATTCCCAATTTCTAACTAAAGGATCCTCTAGCTTCCTCCCACACCTCCTGATCACCTGAAATGGACAATGTAATGGCTCAGAATATGTTGAATAAAAATCTATAGACAATTATCTTAAGCTTTGCATAAAATACTTTGGCTTTCAGTATGCACAAGTACTCTATGCATTGGGCATTTATATTCATATGTTTTTGCTTGTAAACATCACTGGTCCACACTAATTCTGAACAAATATCTAGTGACAGCAGGAAAAAAAAATATCCATAAAATATACAGTCTCTAGATTCTCACACGTAAATTTAGACAACTAAAGTTTGAGATCAATGTCACCAGAGCTTCATTTTACCCAGCAGAAAGACACAGGCATACTTAGAGGTGATTCATCTCATCTCAAAACAGATCAGACTGCAGAACTCGTAAAGGGTACACAGAGTGACTAGCTCTACTTGAAATGAACCCATTCATAAAGAGGGAAATGCAAACATGCATATTCTTTCCATTTGTAATAAACCTGAAATAACAAAGCTATACATTAGGTTCCACTGTGCCTATTTTCTTCATTGGTCAGATCAGCTGTTTCACCTCCCTCCCTCCAGGAATCCAGACCACAATAAAAGGTTAAGCAACTCTCTTTCCATACACAAGCAGCACAGGTTTGTTAGCAACTCTGTCTAGAGAACTTCATTCACCTTCACGAGTTTTCCATTGATCTCTGGTATGTCTCCAGCTTTCCGATTATCTAGCATCCGTATCTCATAGGACTGACCTTTAAAGAGGGAAAAAGAGGGATCAGTAAAAGTCAGAGCACAAGGCTGTTTTGTGTTTAATGCATTTAAACTAGCTTTTGGTTCACAGTATGCAGAAATACCATTACCTGAAACTTGTGTTCAAGAGATCTTTATAGCAACGTGCACTTCACAGCATGGGAACTAATGCAACAAAATGAAACTTTATGGTCCCTTTAAAAGTGCAGATACTTTCAAAGTTTAAGTATTTCATTTTGTATTAAGTGTTAAGTATTTGTTTCTCTATTTCTTTTTCTGAAGAAAAATGTTTCAAAGCTGAATTCCTTTTTTTTTTTTTTTAAAAGCTGATGAAAGGCAACATACTGAGAACCACTGACTGGTCATTAAAAACAAACACTTGCAGAGTTTTTATACTCTTCACATAACATAAATACTACTCTCCCACGTTTAATTTTATCCTGGTGCCTTTACATGATTTTTAGGCTTTGTATGTTTCAGAAAGACACAGTTACAAACAGGTAAGAGCAAACCTGTCTTTCCAGTGAATAGGATAAATTGTGCAATAAAAGAGGCAAAGGTTGAAGTAATTTATTTGAACTAGAGGAATTTTTTCTTCTAAGGTGAGCAGCACATATGCATTTGCAAAATCACATTTCCCCAATTAAAATATAGGACAAAGTGAATTTCAACATGTTCAGTAAGCTCAAGTGCAGTAAATTCATCACCTTCTACACTGCCCTCCAAACTACCTCTACACTTCAGCATATACTGCATTTAAAAGACATTTTGGCTTGCCCTGCAAGGCAACACCCCTGTGAATGAGCAAATGATTTCTTCATCTCCTTTCAGTGCTTTATAGACTGATACCTCCAACTATACACCATTTTGGGGTTTTTTTCCTGTAACACAGTTAGCACATTTATGCAGACACTCTACACATGTACAGGCTTTCTTTACCCCAGCAGCATGTGATCACTGATGTGGTCATCAATGACAAATCCATATACAAATTAGATTAACCTAGTACAGCTGAGTAAATAATACAGAAAGAAACTCTTTTCTTGTTAGTCAGATTTGGTCAATTACCAGTGTTATTTTACTCACACAGATATAATACATTTAAGCCTCACTGTATTTATGCTCAGCATTTTTTAAATCTAGCACTATTAATATACTTATGCAAGTGTTTCTCTGTTCTTTCTCATCAATTTTTGTCCAGGAGGTGGGTGAAGGAAAAAGAATTCTGACTGCCTCCTCAACAAGTGTGGCTAACCTTTTATAGGAACAAAACAATATTATGAATGAAGATTGATAAAGGTAAAAATCAAGGAATACTTGACTTGAAAATGTAAAATAGCTCAGGAAGTTTTCAAGGCAAAGGAGCAGGCATATTCCATTTTGGAGTTCTGGACATATAGTTGCTCTGAAAGTGTGAAAAGCACCACAGCACTGATTTTAGTCATTTCCATACAAGAGCTACATATGCTACTCTTTCTGCAGTTCTGAGAAGTAGCCACTAGAAGCCAGAACTGGAACTGCCCTCTGCTTAACAGTGAATCCATAGTATCCTCTATCACAAAAACCACAGAATGGTCAAATCTGGAAGGGACTTCAAGGTCATCTTGGACAACCCCCCACTCAAGGAGAGCCACCTACAGCCAGTTGCTCAGGACCAAGCCTGGCTGCTCCTGGATGTTTTCAAGGATGCTCATCCAGGCCATACTTCATCAGCTTCTCTTTAAGGATCTTATGGGAGGAAACACCAAAAGTCTTACCAAAGGCAACAACTTGTAAAACAATACCCACTGCCTTCCCCTTGTCTAGCAAGCCAGCCAGATCATCATAGAAGTATAAAATTATTCAATCATGACATCCCCTTGAGAAATCTGTGCTGACTACTCTTACAACCTTCCTGTCCTTCACATGCCTGGAAACAGTTCCCAGGATTAGTTACTTCATCACCTTCCCAGGGAGCCTGTAGTTCCATGGGTCCTCCTTTTTGAAGATTAGAGCAACATTTGCTTTCCCATAGTGCATTCCTCAGGCACCTCTCCTAGACACCATAATCATTCAAAGACTACTAAGAGTGGCCTTACAATGACATCTGCCATCTCCCTTGGCACTCTTGAGTGAACTCATCAGGATATATGGATTTATATATGTTCATTTTGCTAAAGTATTCCCTGACCTGCTCCCCTTTCACCAAAGGGACATTCTTTGCTCCAGACTTTCCCCTGATATCTAAGGCCTGGGATTCCTGAAGACCAGTGATGCCAAAAAAGACTGAGGCCAAGAAAGCATTCAGCACCTCAGCCTTTTC